AAACTTACCTTAAAAACTCGACTGTATGAGTGAATTTCATTCATAAAAATAAAAAGATACACCTAGTCGGGGGGAAAGCGTAATGAGATTTACCCTCAGATGTAAAAACTTAACAAAAAAAAAAACTAAAAAACAAATTAATGCAATGCAACAAAAAACTAAACTATTTAAATCTAAAACTAAATTAAACTATTAAAAAACTTAAGATGCATACATTTATTTTAGGAAAAAACCAATAGAAGAATACTTATTGGCCTTAGATATGAGAAAATGCTACCAAGAGAAAATGTCCAGACTCCAGAAGAAGCTGCAAAAGATAATGATTTGGGACTGTCGACTATTGCACAGCCGAAAGGGAATTGGCTGCTTACTTATATTGCTTCCCCCGTTTTTCTTCTCTTAAGTTTGACTGCGCCATATAACACGTGGGTTGCTTTTAAGTTTGGGTAGGCATGGGTTCACACCATTACATGGGATGGGTAGGAATAGCTTTGCTTACATATAGGGTTTTTTTTTTTGGTGCAAAAATTTGGGTAGGCAGTTTTGGTGAAAAAATTTGGGTAGGCCTGGCCTTCCTGTTGAACCACCACTGCAACAGACTGAAGCAGAGAGAGAGAGTTAGGTTTTTAAACTTTTTGAAAATGCGTATGACCTAAAACGCCACACACGCTCTCTGATACTGAAATCGATTACTCTAGCTAAAAAAAAATGACTAAAATACCCTCCATTTTGCGAAGGTGGCTCAGGGTTTGGGTTTAAAAAGTAATGTTGGTACTATAAGATGCCCAAATTTTGATAACCCAAATTAGATTATACATCAGATTGGTATGTAATCATTTTGATGGTTACATTTGCAATTTTTTTTTATACTAAGAAAAAGAGTTCTGAGTGTGCTAATTGACTAGGAATTTGGAAATCATTGTACTTATTATTAATATAATAACTTCCTATTGACTGCAAACTAGTTGGTTTTGGTTAGGGGTGCAAGTTGGATTGGAAATTATGAATCCCACTAATTTCAATTCGAAAATTTCCGATTTTGGCAAGTCAACTTGATGTGACTTAATGACCGAATAGACATAGACAAGATAAAGGATAACAACATATAAGTGATAGCATTTAATAGTTTTTCGAGCTTTTTTGTATGATTTTTCAATTTTGACCAATTTTAACCTTTCAAAATGGTAGACATGTTTAAGATTTTCAATGATTTTTCAAAAATTTCCACACAAAAATTCCTAGTTTCCGAATTAGAATGGATGTTGAAATTCCAATTTTTTTTTTTTTTAAATGGAAATGGAATCCTCTAATTCCAATCCGATCCTTTAGAAAATCAACCCTAGTTTCAATTTTTGTCACTTCTTTAACTTTTAACATATCACTCCATGTATGGTGTGTGTGTATTGAAACCTCAATCCTCTTGTATATTTTGTTTAAATGAATTTAAGTGAGAGAATTTGATACCAATACAAGTAGAGTCTCTCCTTTTAATTTAGATCATTAATAGTGAGAATGTATTAGCCTTATAATTAATGGATAAATTTAGTTAAGTTAAAATTAACTGAAACCCCAAATTCCAATGTCGTTTGTTCGTTTGTAGAATAAGTGATGCAATTTATTGATAACAAAAGTTACATACACGACATCTGCAACCAAGACATCCTGTATGAACTGGGGAGCGGGCATCCTCTCCACCTCCTTCTTCACTTGAACATTTGCAGTAATTTCTGTTGAACATAATTTAGTGACAAAAAAGTTATGAGAAGTATTCTCAAATTACAAATAATTAATAACAAAGTACAAAGGCACAACCTAACCACGAATAGTGAAATGAGTCATAATATTACGGTCTACGTTTATTCGTGACTATTAATGTTGCTTAGTTACTAGAAATAGGGATAATGAAATGAGTTATAACATTACGTTCTACGTAAATCCGTGACTATTAGTGGTGTTTATGTGCCAGAAATAGGGTGATAAACACCAATTACAAATAGATAGGAACACTAGATAAGTCTACTATATTAGTTAATAGTAGTGTTCTTTCATCATATAAACTGCGAAAAAAGGAAAAAATATGTAATATAAAATTGAAGATGAGGTCGTTTGAGTTAGAGAAGACCAATTTGCAAATTACAGAGAATATAGAAAAGCCCCAACTTAAATGCACCAAGAGATGAAGAAGATTGCAGTAGATGCAAAGAAGAAAGCGTGATAGGGATATGTGTAATCAAGAAAAGGTTGTGCAGAGAAGCCGGGAGATGAAGCACGTATCCTTTCTTTTTTTTTTCTTTTTTTTTTTTTTTTTTTTTTTTTTTTTTTTCTTTTTTTTTTTTTTTTTTTTTATAAACAAAATAAATGGGGATTTGAGTAATACAAGGAGTATGAGGGAGGGATACAATTATTAATTATGAGTGTCGTTAGATTAACCTAAGGGTCGTTATTAAAGAGAACCTTATAGGACCTTGGATGAGAGGGACTGCAGTTTCTACATTGTGCATCTGTCTCCCTCACTTCTTGGGCCATACTTAGGTCTAAATGGTTGAACTAGTTGATGACCATAACTAATTCTAGTTTTGGATTAGAATAAGTCCTAGTAAGTTGATCATTGAACCAATTATTTTCGCTTGGAACTGTAACATTTGACATTGTATGAAAAACAGTTGAATAGACACATTTGGAAAGCAATATTGAAAATTTGGATATTATAAAGGGGTCTTTTTATCACAAAATGTATCCGAAGTTCACTAGAAAATAAATGACGATAATTGATAGTTTCATAAACCTCAAGATGTATAACAAATGACGCAACTATGTATTTTGGACGAACCTCTGATGGTGAAAACCCATGTTTTTAACTCAATCTGATAACATTTGTTACAACCATAGAACAAAATATCGATAATTTCAGCGAAATTATCATTTTTTTGAGGCAGCGATATTTTAGCATGTTTTCATTCATTTATCGTGAAATTATTGATAATTTCCTCTATAATTTCAGTAGCGATATTTTCGTTCAAATAGCAGCTGCAAATGGTCAATTTATCCCGATATTATCGATAATATCACGAAGTTAAAATGAAATAATTCACTTGACTCATATGCACACAGCGGTTTGAACCCCTCCCCCCTTCCAAGTTCAGAGCAACTTAACCACCACGCTAGTCATCACTTGGTGATTAGTACCTATGGAATCTGGTATTTATAACTCTTCCAAGATGTTTCTCAAAATAGAAAATAATTACTTATTGTTCTATATTGTTTGATCAAATATTTAATTACTTGATATAATTTATTTCTTTCCTATTTGATCCATTTAATGTTATTGCTTATTTTATTATTCATTATAAGTACTTACATCACTAAATTCCCCTCCAAATTGTTGCTTAATTACTTAAATCTCTATGATAATTTTCTTTATTTCCTATTTAATTCTTCCTTAGATAACTTTATTTATGTTCTTAGTTAATTTTCAATCTTTAGTATTATTTTTTAAGCATGGTAAAGTGCTTAATTTTCATGACAAATCAAGTTGGTTTACATCTTTAATTATTTTTCAAGTTTTAATAAATAATATATATAAGAACGTATACCATGTCATGTCCGGTGAATAACGTGAAATAAAGTTACTCATGTATCTTACCATGCAATTTATAAAGTGTAAACTATTGTAGTAAAAATGATAAATAAATTACTAGAGGGTATTTAATTTTCTTTCATTAATTACTCTAGATTTTCCAAGTCACAGAGTTTGTCAGCTCGCAATATAATCAATTTAAATCACTCAAACCTACTATGCAATGCATTTCCTTCCAATCTTTTGTGTTAAAATAATAGAAGATTGACTAAATAAACTTTTTACAAAGTTTCATAAAAAATTTCCATGTATTTATCACAATTTCCGTGGTTTTTATCTAATTTTTATTGATATCGATATTTTCCCAATATTTCCATCGATATTTCTATGTTTTTGAACCACTGATATTTCTGAAACCCTCGATATTTAAGACCTTAGTTACAACTTCAAGTGATAATTAAGCTGTAATATAGACAATTTCATAAAGATATCCAAAATGCAAAGGACACCAACTATTGGATGGATGTGTTGTCGAATCATTATTTCTTATTATTTTAAGTCCATTGATCTTTTGCCACGTAAATATCCTTCTCTTTTTTTTTTGGGTCCTGACTCAGGCTCGTTTGGGAGTGCTTCTTTAGGAAGCACTTCTACTTATAAGCGCTTTTACCAAAAGCACTTTTATTATATAGACGTTGAAATTTTCATAAGAAACATAAGTGCACTTGGGAGTGCTTCCTGAAGAAGCACATGACAGGTGCTTCTCCAGAAAGCACTTTTATGGCCTAAAAGCGCTTCTAAACATTTCTGACAAACGCTATCAGAAGCGCTTTTGGTTATCAGAAAGCACTTTTAACTTTTCTAGAAACACTCCCAAACGGGCGTGTTGAAATGCTTTTTCCCTTTTTTAATATTTCGTTCCCTTTGTGCCCCTGGAATAAGGTAAGTAAGAAATCGGAATTAGATCAACTTGATCCCCTAATTGATTCAATTCTATCAATTCGTAGTTTTGAGGGTATTGCATTACTCATTTTTAGGTGGAATCTACATATTTTTTTATTTATTCTGTGTTAGTAAAGAGTCCTGACTCAGCTTGGTGTACTCTTGCCCTTCTGTAATTTTTCGATCCCTTTGTGTCCCTGGATAGGGTAAGTAAGAAATCGGAATTGAATCAACTTAATCCCCTAATTGATTCAATTCGTAGTTTTTGCAGGTATTGCATTACTGATTTTTAGGTGGAATCTACAATTTTTTTATTCTTTGTGTTAGTAAAGAGGAACTGGAATAATTCCCTTTCTTGTCGTATCCATCCCGATAAGTAAACATGCCATTCAAAAATTAAGTTTACGCAGTAGTAGCATCAACAATTAGTACAAGGACATGAAAAGTTAGATTTTGGATTACAACTTCAATATGCAAGTGCGAATTTAAATTCCAAGTTCTGCAGATTTCAACGCCTTACCATTTGTTCCTTCGATATATGCGACCACTCAATTTGGTAACAGATGACATTACTAATACAAACTAAACAAATGTTGAGATGACCAAAAATTAGCTTTACCAAAAAAACGTGCCCTATGATGTTTAAATATCAAGCTGCCTCAAGTTCTGCCTACCCTTAAAACACCTATGAAAGCAGGACAACAGAGAAAAAGTGCTGTATGGACTACAAAGTACAGACAACTGAGAGCTGGGGGAGAAAAGCCTTATCTCGAAAGCTTTAGTCTTGTAAATGACATCCTGATGCTAAAGTTACAAGGATTTCTGACTTCCCACCAAATCACACCTTTTTGATAATCTGAACAACATCTTCATCTTCGAGGAGATGCTCCTGTTGTGTCAAAGTAACAAACGTGCAACTTAATTAATAAATCGAATGTTCGTGAATAAGTCACAAATCAAGTAGTAGCAAATGGAAGATATGAGCGTGCTGAACTGAGATTAAAAATCAACCTTGCCAACTCTTTGGGGCTTGTGTTTCGCGCTTGACCCCCAAACCAGAGCACTGCAACAGAACCTCAAAGTTAACTTTCATGAACAGCGATGGGGAAACAAGCTCAAAAGAAACAATGAGGCATACAACAGTGCTTCAGAACAAGTCTCAAGTATAGAAACCACATGGTATTTATACGTAATCTGGTCCACACAAAAGTTGAAGCCTATATCCACTTTAAAGCTCTACTTTTCCACAGATGTTAAGACAAGTGCCTCAAGTACCTTTTTCTGTTGTCGGACTACATGTTATCATTTCCAAACCAAAAAAAAAAAAAAAAAAAATTTAGGAGAGGTACTTACTACTTAAATTGTTTAATAAAATCTTTATGAATCCGTTCACAGAAATCCTCAACCGTTCTTGTCTTAGACGACAGAATCACAGGATCTTCATAGTCTGGATTCATCCCTTTAGGTTTAGTATATATGCGAGTTAAATTAAGATACTCCCATATTTTCTCCAGCAAACCATCGAGATTCCATTCCAGGTGAGCACTGCAGATCAGTCATGGAAAATTACACAATTAAAGTTAAAAAACTACCACACAGTAATTTCAGAAATGCGAACCAACCAAACAATACCAGAAAATGGTGAAAAGTTACGAGAAACAAACAGCAGCAATATAGTAACAAACAATGCCGCGGAAAAACAAATCCAAAGAATGACGCATAGGTACTACACAATCCAAGTCCAATTGGATCAATGACTACAAGCTGTATGCTATTTATTTGAATTTGTAAAATACCTTATTCCTTATTTCATGCTTTGTACAACTGCATAATGTTTGAACACTAAGCCTGATGCTTAATTAATCTTATATTGAAAACTACAACGCTTCTTAATTTGTAGATACTTTAAATACAATGTTTTTTTCTAGAAAATTATAATATTTAATGCATTGTTGAAAATGTCCACTGGCAGTAATGTTTTGGCACTAGTCGAATTCCTCTAACAGGCTTTTAATATTTTTAATTAGAGTTTCCAACATGTTATATCTCAATAATAATACAGAGGTTCAAGCTCTTGAAGGGGAGATAGATAGAACATCCAAAAATTTCAAATACTCCTACTAAGGTGTTGCAACAATAATCTGCTATGAAATTATAATTTCGGTCATAAATAAAAATTACCTGACTGGACAGTAGTGAGGAAGTTTATCCAAAATCTCAAGCTCTTCAAGTGTAATCTGATCAATCTTGTTCACAACATAGATGCAAGGCATATATATCCTACTGCCTTCAATTACATCTATGAGGTCATCAGCAGTTGCATCAAACCTAAGAGTGATATCAGCATTGTGAATTCTGTATTCGCTACATATTGCCTTCACAGTATCAAGATCCAGATGTGTGTTGGTAACTGTTGACGTGAAATTAATCCCACCCTTATCTTTCTTCCTGAAGGTCAGGTTAGGTGGTTCCTTGTTTAACCTGCTCAGAGTAAGCATGTATCCATTATAAGAAGTACAAACTATCTAGGACGAGAATGTACAAGTAATGTCTCCAGATAGTGTGTGACAAAGATTACATACATATAAATCTAGATGCACACACATACAAACATTTTTAAGCATCTGTGTGTGTGTACTAAAAATAAATTGTATCAAGTATGGAACATGGTGTTTACTGCAAAAGAATAAAGGTAATTGAAATATTCCATATTTGGCAATAACAGAAAGCTGAACAGCTTCCACTGTTTACCAAAAAAGAAAAGCGCAGTGTACATTACTAAACCATTTGAAGAGATCTGAGTTTCAAATCCAGACAGGTCTGTATCAGCTAATTCAACACTACATCATCCTCACGAAATGTGCACCCTAGGATGTAGTTCCCAGGAAGATTTCATACAAGAAATTAGAAAATATATATACAACACACACACACACACACATATTGGTCAACCAATATTTCAAACTTGAAAAAAAAGTTTATATGATGTAAATGAAATGTACAGGTACAACCAACATAAACGATCATTCGATCATCTGATGTTTCATATGGCATGATAGCATTGACCAATGCATTAGATCTGATAAATCATATAACACACAGTTAACACTACAACAACAAAATAACAAACATATACAGACCAGATACAGAGTTAACCACATAGATTACCTTATGCCAAATCCCTCAAGCTCTTTCTCAATTAGACGCTTGTGAGTTATTGGCTTTATTGCATCAAGAACAATTAAAATGCAATTGCATGTCCTAGCAGTGCTGATAACCTGGATGACATGAAAGTTCAATAAGCTGAAAAGCAAACCCAGAAAGGAAAAAGCAGAGACAAACCCAGGAAGGAAAAAACAACTCATTTTCTGTATTCCAAACAATCTCTGCCATATCTGAAGCCTTGATTGGTATAACACATCACACAAATCATATCAATACCATTCATAACCAAAAGGGAAAAATATCTCAAGTGTCATTTACAACTGGAAAAGGTGCAAAATATACAAGGTCGGTCTTTGGCAAAAGTATGTTATAAAATGTCTTTATAAACTTCCATGACCAAAAACCATTGGAATAGTTGGCAATATGTAAGGAGACAATACCAGTCATTTGTTTATTCGGCAATTGTTTGGTCTATCCATCTAACCACATACAGTATTAAAAAAATTGCATAGAAAACTGAGCCGCTGAGGGTATAGGAGCATCCATACATTATCAAACACTCGTTCAGGTCCTTGCCCAGCAGCCTGTATAATATAACCTAATTTTCATGGACTTGGCGGGGTATTGACACGTCTTAGCATTGTACGACATGCTTGCCCAGTTTTATGTTCAGCTGCAAGCATGTCAAAAACATGACCTCTATGTGGACCTATAGTTTAACTCAAGACAGTGAGTAGTAACATTCTCCAGGACCTGAGAGAAGATATGCAGGGGATTGTAAATTCCCATTCTCTAACATGTTTGCCACATTCATGTCCAGTAGTAAGCATGTCAAACAAACATGCCACTGTGATGGTGTAAAATACAAGTCTGGCATAAGAGTTATTGCCCATTTAAACATGAAAAAAAATCTCGAAAAGATAATGCTGGAGAATCTGCACATCCTATCAGATAAGCATGTAACTTGTAAAATCTATTTTCTAGCCAAATATAAAATTCCATTGACCAACCATGAAGTTTATAAAAGGCTCCTAATTGGAGAAATCAAATTGAATACGTAATTTGGATGTGAGATCATTGCTTGGAAAAAGGACTGACGGAACAGAAAGAGAACAGGAAACTGAAAAGTGAGAGGGGAGACGGGAGAGGTAGAGGAGAAAGAGGTGAGAGAAGTTAGGGAGGGATGAAGGAAAATACAAAAGATGCTGTTTAAGATATAATTAAAAACTACATACAGTTATATGGGTTCTATTTTTAATTTTTAGTTTCAAATCTTTCAAACTTCGTCACCTCTCTCATCTCTCTTCTCTTTTCTAATTTCACTCTTGATAGTTAAAAAAAGAAAAAAAGAGAGAGAAACATTATCAAATCGGTGCTGAGATTTAAAAGCAGAATGCAGATATCAAAAATAAAAATGAGTATAAGAAATAAGCGCATTGAAATAAATCCTCAGCATGCTAGGGTAGCACAATGTGGAACAAATATCACACATTACCTGTCTTCCTCTACCTTTTCCATCCTTAGCACCCTCAATAATTCCAGGTAGATCTAACAACTGCAAATTAAAGTATGAAATTCAAAAGTTAAAGAATCGAAACTGACAATAAGGGAAACAAATGAACCAGTCTCGACAAGTGAAAATTTGGTATCATGTTTTGGAAGCACATCTTCCATAAAATCCAGTACAGCCATTTTGAATAAAACTAAAACATTAAGGCCATGTTTTGACACAGCACACATAGTTACCCTAATTTATATAAGTATCCCTCCATCTCATGCATAAGTTCAAAATGGTGGCTACCAACCGTTAATGGTGAAAAATGATGTAAGGCACTCAAATCATAAAGCATGTAATATGATGAAAATGACTTCCCGAAGGTAAATATGATAAAAAGAATAATTAAAAGAAGAAAAAGGTAACATTAATCTACATAAACAACATTAACTTAATTAAGGAGTCCAGGAAATAAAGGCGGAAAAGGGAGAAAAGAAGGGGGTGCAGCAGGTTGGGGATTGATTCAGCAACTGGTCTTTTATCTTTACTTTTACCTAAGATGATGGTTCACCATTCATGAAACCTTTGCTTTACTTATATACTTTTTAGAAAAATACAAATACAAAGTTTAAACACATTGAAAACATGCAGATTTTATTTTCAATTGTCAAATCTCTATCAACATTACACATCCAAAAAAAGAATAGAACTGACAAAAAGACAACAAAAAGTGGAAGTTGATGACTGTGAGACAATAAAAAATTGTACTATATTATTATATCTACACACGCATGCTTAGATGTATGAATTAACATACGCATATATACACACAGCCACCTTGAGATGAGAGAATTTGGTTTCTCCTTCTAAAGTATATAGCTAAATGTAACAGAGATAACAATACTGCATATTATACTACCTGAATTTTTGCACCTCGATACACGATCACACCTGGGATGCAAGTCAAGGTCGTGAATTCATAGGAAGCAACCTGTAACCAAAAACATTACAAGGTCTTCAGAATATCAGGGATTTTCTTAAAATCCTAGTTGGCAACCCACAATTATTGCATGGCTGCACAATGAAGGAAGGAATAACAATAATAACATTCAGGTTTCACAAAGTAAACAAGCATTTAGGTTTTATCACATATGTAGATATCAGACACAAACACAGGAATGACTAACACCCAAAACCCCAACGTTTTAAAGCAGAAGGTTATAAATGAAACCAAATTACAAAGTATTTCTACACATAGTTCTAATCCGCTGATCCTAAATTACATTTGCTGAGAGTTTCTATGCAATAGCATCCTTAAAAGACATAAGACAATGGTAAAAAAAAAATGTACTTCAGGCAATGACATTGATTGAGGATCCCTAAATAGGGAGACCAGGCAATGAATCCCAGTAGATTGCACAGAAAATTGGAAATTTAATTTTGACCCAATGTTATAGACGTGTCAACAGATTAAACATCATAAGTAATCTCAATCAAAATCCATATGCTTCCATGCCTAACATACTTCGACAAGTAATTCTTTTTCTCAAAAAAATTTATTTGCCTCATACAGATTTTGCGTAGATTGAGATTAATCAACAGTTTCTACCTCTGAGAAGGTCCCAGTTAATTTGTTCAGCAGTGTAGATTTCCCAACTGACGGGAAACCCACCAAACCAACTCTTGCATCTCCGCTCTTAGTGACATCAAAACCTTCACCCGCACCACCACCACCTTTTGATGGAGGCTCAAGTAGGTCCCTCCTGAGCTTTGCAAGTTTAGCCTAGCAACAAATGACCAAATTACATCTGGATCAGTTCTGTCAAAGGATGAAATCATAAACAGAAATTTAATGGCAAATATTACAACGAACAAGAATATTTACCTTCAGCAAGCCCAAGTGATGGGCTGTAGCCTTGTTCTTTTGAGTCCTAGCCATCTGCAAGTAATAAGAAAAAAAACAAAGAACTATTAATATCCAAGTCAATAAAGGAATATGCAATATCCAGAAGCAGCACCTCCAAAACAATAACTGCATTTCAAACAGTTGATTGAGAAGTAATAAATCAACAGAACCAAAACCTGGACCTACAGCTATTCAATAAAATCAAACTTGGACTGTTAATCATGTAGTTTTAAAAATACACAAGAAAGAAGAACAACAGAAACAAAGATATGAACTTTTGTTTCCTAAAACTGTTATCTTCAAAACAAACAATCAGCAGAGAGCCCTCAATTTAACTTCAGTCTAAAAATCTTGGAAATCCATTAAAAGAACCAAAAGCCAAACTCAAAATTTCAATTTTTTGTTCTTGGATTTTCCTTGATTGGAGTTGAGTGGACATAGAAAGTTTCTAACTGTTGGAAATTAACAAATCTAAAAGACCCTAAGAATTATGACAAAAAAATACTTCCCCTTCTATTTACATATCGTTCGAATTTTTTTTTCTTAGCTATTAAAGCCATAAGCATCAAAGAAATGATAAGGCTAAATTTTTTTCCGCTTCCCCTCAATTTCTTTTAGTTTTCATTGACCAAATGGAAAATAAAGAATGTTCTAGGGTTTTTCATTCGCAGAAAAAGTACAACAGAGATTGCAGTACAGGCAAATACCTCATCTTCGATGTCCTTAATTTTCTGCATCAAAGTCGCCATTGTTGAAGCACTTGACGCACACTAGCTCGGAGAGGGAGTGGGAGAGATAGAATGGAGATGTACGGAAGGGCTTGTGCTCGGGCTCGGAATGATTCTGCTGAAGTGTTTACTGACTGGTAGAGCAGGGAGAAGAAGAAGGTACCAGAAGCAAGCGGGGGGGTAGGGTAAAGTCTGTTTGAAGTTTTGAACCCATTTATTTCATAAACATACCCACTCAATTTTACTTCTTATCAGAATTACAAATTTATCCCTATTTTTAGCCTTATCATTTCTCGGCGACAAAAAAGAGAAGAAATAATACAAATTTATAAATAAACTCAATATTTATAAAAAAATTCAAGCACTATTTGAACATAAAAACACACCCAAAATCAACTCTAAAATCAATAATTATATATTTTTTGGGTGTGTTTATAAATGAGTTTTGAGTGTGTGTAATGATGGGTTTTGTGTGTGTTTATAAAGTGTTTTGGGTGTTGAGTTTTTTTATAATTTCAGCCCCCATTTTGGGTGTTTTAGTGAAACCCTCTAAAAATAAATCTTAATTTTTTAATTAAAATAACTATTTTTTAATTAAGAAATTCACAGTCAGAGAGCGACCTCGACTGAAAAGATAAAAAAGGATTACGGTTTTGTGCTCTTTCTCCCTTTACGGATACAGCCGCCAAATGTGAAAAAGGAAAAACCCTGAAATTCTTCTCACTCCACTGAGAATCTGAAATAGCCTTCCTTCCTCAGCAGCTGAAAAAACCCTTAGACCCACAACAACAACAACAACAACAACCCACTGGCTCTAAGAAGGCTTGAACAGCACTAAAGGTTTTGTCTTCAAGGAGATTTCAGCGCTCAACTCTTCCCTACAAGTTTGTTCTTCTTCAACTTTCTCTTCTCTTCTCATAGTTGTAATGTGTAGGCATTTGGTACAACTTTAATGCATATTCTTCAATCTTCCTTTCATGTTCATTGACTGAGATTATTATATTCTGGTTTCTACTTTAGAAAACTGGGTGGTTCTTCAAATGGATAGATTCTCGTCTTTTTTGGTTACATAAATAAAGAAATGGGACCACACTCCAAACTAGCACAGCCCAACTGACCCGTGTAGAAACGCGACTCTCATATCCGGAGTTCTCTTCCTCATCGGCTCAAGCTCCCCTTTTTTCAGTTTCTCTTTTTTGTCTTTCAAATCCCTCTTCTCTTTTTCATCTTCCAATAGGTATGCTTTGATTTTGTTCTTTTTATTCTCTGAACTTTTTTCCTGGTTCTTTTTTGGTTTTTTGGTTTTTTGTTGAGGTCTGCCATTTTGTTTTTCTGCACTATTTCTTTATCTCTGGTTACTGCAATGATGTTTTCCTGGGGTTTTTGTGTCTTGTGTGTGGGTTTTGATGCGTGTAAGTCTGAGGTTGCTTTGTTTTTAATCTTCAATTTTCTTTTTGGTGTCCTGTTAAGTCCCAGCCCCAAACCAATCTTGGCTCCTCTCAAGATATTTAATTCAATGTTAAAGTATGTTTTTATAAAAATTGAAACTTTCCGCGTGTTTGCAGTTGATTTTCTGTAAGGAACACTTATGCTGGTATTTGAGCTTTATAATTCAGTACCCTTTCATATTTGCTGACATCTGTTTTATAAAACAGAGCCATTTGATTAGTATCCTTACCGTAACCATTAGGTTGAATTCAAGTACACTTACTGCTTTAGCCACAAACACAATCCCCACTAATTTGAATCTTTTCATTTTTTTCTCTCAGGGTTGGTTTGTCTACTCTCTCTGTCCCCATCTCCCTCTCCCCCTTCACCATGGCAGCTGTCTGCACACACCATCAAGTCTTACCAACAGCAGCCTCCATGTCCTCGATCAACATCTCCAAGAGCTCCCAAGCCCAACTTCTCTTCCGCTCACATTTGCTCAACCGAAACAAGCCCACGTTTTTAACTTCCACTCCCCATCTCCACACCACCTCTAAACCCCAGTCCAAACCCCACATTCTCTGCTCCCAAAGCACTAACCCTAAGGCTGCTCGCCGCCCTGATTACATCCCCAACCGCATCTCCGATCCCAACTATGTCCGTATCTTCGACACCACACTCCGTGATGGTGAGCAGTCCCCTGGCGCCTCCTTGACCTCCAAAGAAAAACTCGACATTGCTCGGCAGCTCGCAAAGCTTGGAGTTGACATAATTGAGGCCGGGTTCCCCGCGGCGTCCAATGATGATTTTGAGGCTGTAAAGATGATTGCGAAGGAGGTTGGGAATTCAGTTGACAAGGATGGTTATGTGCCTGTGATATGTGGGTTGTCGCGGTGCAATAAGAAAGATATTAAGAGGGCATGGGATGCCGTGGAGTGCGCCAAAAGGCCCAGGATTCATACTTTTATTGCAACCAGTGCCATTCATATGGAGCATAAGCTGAGGAAGACTAAGGAACAGGTGGTTGAGATTGCAAGGGACATGGTGAGTTATGCCAGGAGCTTGGGTTGTGATGATGTTGAGTTTAGTCCTGAAGATGCTGGGAGGTAGGTTTTTGTTGACTCTTTCTCTCTCTCTGTGTAATTTTGTGAATTTATGTATGGAATGCCTACTTGGTTGGTTTCTTATTAAAAGAAAAACTAGAAATTTGAGTTATCTTATAAAAGAAAACTATGAGTTACTATCTTCTGGCCTTGTATGTAAATCGTATGGTGATGCCATCATTTCTGCAATTTAGTAAATTTATAATGTATTATAGTGATGGGTTATAACCTTTAAATTACTGCAATTTATATATACAGATGCACACTATATATATATATATATATATATATTACTGTGTGTGTGCTATGTTGACACTTCAGAAATCGTGCCCGTCTAATTAGTGCAAGTTTTCTTACATTTAAGGGTTTTGCAAGGTTGTGTTTTATATAACTGAAGTGGGAAATGGTACCCCCTTCATCATTCACAAAAAAATAGAAAATAAAGGCTTAGATAGTTTACGTTTAGAAAATATCTACTGCACATGTAGGAAACATGGATACTGACCTTGGCATTACTGGTAAGAATTTAGGGTGGTATTGGCTGTTGGCCATAAGGTCACAGCTTTAAATGGTTATGTCAAGATGTCATCTAATGTTTGGTGGTACCTAATGGATCAAATCTTGTTCTGTTTTTACTTTACTGCTACCAATTAGAGGAGAAATGAAATTATTTCAAGTTTGAGGATGATGGCTAGTGGTTGTTGCTTGTCTGCAAGCTGACAAATTGTTTCTTGAGCTTGTGAATATTTTAATATGACCTAATAATTGATTCTCATGGAATCTATGTTACATGCTGTCACCTGTTCATAGGTTTATAAAGGCTGGTATTCTTTTAAGCATACCCATAATTTTTAATTTTTACTTTCGAAGTATGTTATGTATCTGACCAGCAAGGACATCAGAGTTCAGTTGGCCTTCTTTCTTGTTTTCTGGTCAAATAATGAGAATGTGGAAAGTGTTCAGATGCTAAAGAGCAATCTGGGGGAGGACAGGCACCATTTTCAACTCCTTCATTCACTTAGGCCATATAGTTTTCTTTACTTTTGTAAAATTTGTACTTGTTCCACATATAAACTCGTCATTAATATATTCCCTTTCATATGGATATCTTACTATTAATTTCATTGTATGTTTTTTATTGTGACTTGCAATTTGAACCTATTTGTCCATATCATGAATTGTAAACTCCTTTCGGTCCTTTTAATTATCGATTTCTATTTAATCCATTTCATTTTCTTGTGTTTTTAATAATAAATGTCTTTTGTTTTCTTGGCCCAAACCCTACCAGATCCGATAGGGAATTTTTGTATCAGATTTTGGGTGAAGTTATAAAGGCTGGAGCAACTACTCTGAACATTCCTGACACTGTGGGTTATAACGTGCCAAGTGAATATAGTCAGTTGATTTCTGACATAAAATCTAATACCACTGGAATTGAGAATGTTATCATTTCGACTCACTGCCAAAATGATCTTGGACTTTCTACTGCCAATACTATAGCGGTATGCCATGTTTTGCTTATTTTTTTTGGTTTTGTTTTGGTAGGCGTGTAGTTAATGAAAACATGCACTCACATCTTATGTCATCCATGATCAGGGGGCAAGTGCAGGTGCTAGGCAACTGGAAGTAACAATCAATGGCATTGGTGAAAGGGCTGGGAATGCTTCATTAGAGGAGGTGAGGGTTTACTTCTGCAGCCACATAAGATTGCATAGTTTCAAGTTTATTTTGCGCAATTTTGAATGTGAAAAAAGCAAAATTTCAGAATAAGTCCTTTTTATGAGCCTGATTTCAAATCAATCCAGTTTGATATTATGTTCTCTGCAAGAAAATAACACCTCGAAGATGTCTGGCTATGAGATAAATTCTCGCCTATTCCATTGAGTTGTTTCTATTTGTGGACTGATGATCTGTTATCAGCATATCTACTTTTGCTAGTTTTTGAAATACAGTAATGCTTCAAGTCTTCAATGCTTTAAAGTGTCATTTGTCATGATACCTGCTTCTGTTCTTTTGTGTATTTCCAACCTCAAGCTCAAATGACTCTCTTTTTGTGTCATCTTTTCAAGGCCCTAGACCCTCTTACCTCCCTAACTTTTTTGCCACCAGATGCTTTGTGGTTTGTCTCAAATTTCTTTTTTGCCACTTTGCCTGAATTCCATGCAACCTGAAACTAAGTAAGCGTCCTGCAACCAGACAGCTATCTGAGTTGCAAGCCCTTTAAACATTTTGTACAAGCATCTACAAGTATAGAAATGATACATCAAGGATATGCTAATAACAATATTTTTCTAAGGAGATGTGTTCTGGATTCAATATTGGAAACTATGCGTTTAAATCGTTTAGTCTTTTTCTATGCTAAAAGGGCTCATATTGTGATAGATCCAGTACGCATCAATCGGTGACTGAGAATATTGGAAACTTATGTTTCCATGATTTAATATTGATATTTTGGTTTCAGTTACGAAGATTCTGTTATGTATTCTGAAATATTACAGAGTTATTCATATCATATATGGATACAGTTTGGATAAGTCTTCTGAAATTTCACTGCTACATATTTCTAGCCTCTTAGAAGTTTCCATTTGGTCACCAAACTCTATTCAGAAATTTGATGATTATTTTGTTCCTTTCCCATGTATACTGGTATCAAAACTATTGGT